CCATATTTCCTCAACCAGGAGACAAGTCTTGTCTTCCTGAATCTACAAAGGGAAAGAAAACACCATGTCTTGGGTCTGCATACAAGGAGAGCTCATCAAAGACACTGCTGTTAAACTGCTGCCAGAAGCAGCATGTACTCAGTCATGAAAGCTGGCTCTGCAGGAGTTTAAGGTGGATCAGAATGAACCAGGCCTTCAAATATATGACCCAGAGTAGTAAAACATACTGAGGCGAACCTACCCCATTCTTCAACAATAAATAAATAAATTAGATAGATAGATAGATAGAATTTATTTATTTATTTATTGTTGAAGAATGGGGTAGGTTCCCCTCAGTATATACAGATATATATCACTTGACCCCAGTTGTCTTTTCCTGCCCAGTGCAGGGGGACCGGACCTGGTGATCTACAAGGTCCCTTCCAGCCCCTAACAATCTATGAATCTATGAATAATATGGATAGATTGATAGATAAATAGATCTATATCTATATACATATATAGTAGGGGTGTGTGAAGCAGGCTGTATTTGATTCGGATTCAGATTTGGCCCAATTCAGGGGACAGTGATTCGATTAATTGATTTGGGTCACTGTCCCAATTCTATTCAGCCAAATCTGAATCTGAAGATTCGATTCTGATTTGGAGAATAAGTGATTCGGCCATAGACAGAGCTTTAAATGATTTTTCTACATACCTGGAGGTACCAGGCGTGGCTCGCAAAATGCTGAGATGGTGGGGCAGATGGAGCGTCCCACAGGAGAGATTAGTGGGTCTCCTGAGTCAATTCGGATTCAGAGATTTGGCCACCGAATTGGGCTGAATCTCTGCCAAATTAGCAACCAAAACTTTGCACAGCCATAATATATAGATATATCTATATAGATATACTAGCCAATTGCTATATAGATATAGCTATAGATATAGATCTATATATCTATATAGATATAGATATCTATATCTATGTATATCACTACCCCCTTGAACCCATCACAATTATGCAAAGGACTACCTCAGTCCTCCCCCCCCAAATCCCCCTTCTGTTTGTTCAGTCCCTTCATTTGTTGTCATCATCATCATCCTTCTCCTCGTTGCTCTCTTGGATGGCTTGCCTCTGAAAAGTCTATGCCAGTCCCCTCTTTTCCATATGATGTCCACCATCTCTTTCCCATCCTCTTCTACTGTCTTCCTGTAATACCAGTACAGATCACTCAGGCCCACTCTAATGCAGTTCTCAACTGGGAGGCTTGTGTGCCTGTTTGGGAGCAAGTTCCTGATCTTCCACAGGGCATTTCTGAAGCAGGAGATGAACTGGTCGAAGCGGGCTGTTGGGGCCCCTTGCTGCTTAGTCAAGTGCCCATACAGAACTGCCCTCTGGTCAGGGGTATGAAACCTGTCGCCACCACCAGAAGAACTACACAAACTTTCTTCCACACCTTTCAGGCATATGGGCAATCCCCAGAAGAGGTGATCAATTGTTTCTGCCTCCCACTAGCAGGATTGCCTGCGCCAGTTGGATGGGCCTCTCTGCCCCACACTGTTTTTCCATGCCTGTATGAGGAGTCCCCAGTGGGCTACCTGCCAGTTCAAGTCTCTGTGCTCCTTCTGCAGGTCCTGGTAAAAGATTCGCTCCCACATAGCCTGGCAGCTGTCACCAGGTAGTAGGTCCACAGGTGATATGATGTCTCTTGCCTTTATCACCTTTTGTATCTTGTGGTGGTTTGTCAGGGTTGCTGCGGCCTTGTTGTGCAGTTTGCATTTGTTCTGGAAGCATTTCAGGACCTCGTGGAACCATGGGGACTCCATGGGCTCTTGTTGGTTGTCATGTACACCCGCCACTGTCACAGTAGATTCCTTGCAAAATATTTTACAAAGCAGACTGTTTAGATTTTGTTCCTGTTGCCAGTTTGCAAATCCAGCCATGTACTTGGCCCAGAGGAACAGCAGAATGTCTGGGATTCCTCTGCTTCCAGACTGTTTTGCTTTATACAGTGTGGTCCTCACCACTTTCTCCCATGTAGAGTTCCAGAAGAAGATACACATGGCTCTTTGGATCCTGTGGGTGACTTACTCTGAGGTGGGGAAGACTAGGGCAATATGTAGAAGCATCAGTAGTAACACTGCCTTTGTGAATACCATGCACCCACCTATTAACAGGCAGCACAATTGCCATAGTCCCACTCTCTGTCTCACCTTGACCTCAGCCTTTTCCCATGCCCTCTGTCCAGTCAGCTCTGGGTCAACTCCATTCCGAGGATCTTTACCCCATTGTGGGGGACAGAGACCCCCAGGACTGACAGGTCCCCAAGTTCACCCAGTACTAGGCAGATGTTTTACTCACATTGAGTTTGGCCCCTGATGTTGCTTCATATACC